ACCGAAGTGGAGTAAGAAACGCCAGCAGCTGACACGAGCTCCGCCCCGCGGCCCCACGCCGACCGCTCGTGAAATGCACCCCCGCCAGAGCCAGGACTGAATGCATGCGAACCCGTAATCCGACACGCAGCAAACCACTCAGACTGCCGCGGGGTCCATGACGACCCCGGCCTACACCTAACCCAAAGTGCTGTAGAAATAAGAAATCACACATCCACTAAACTTTTATTGACATACAAAAGAGCTCATTTTTTCGCCTTCGCGGCCTTCTGGGCAGACTTCGTCGCCTTGGCTTCCTTATCTTTGAAGACTACAGCCTTGATGACACCCACGGCGACGGTGGATCTCATATCACGAACAGCAAAACGACCAAGAGGTGGGAATTCAGAGAACACCTCAACACACATAGGCTTGCTGGGTATCATCCTAACAATGGCCGCATCACCAGATTTAATCTTTGCAGGGTTGGTCTCCTTGACCTGACCGGTTCGACGATCGATCTTCTCCTTAAGTTCGGCAAACTTACAAGCAATATGGGCAGTGTGGCAGTCCAGGACAGGAGTGTAGCCTGCACCAATCTCACCGGGATGGTTGAGAATGATCACCTGCGCAGTGAACTCGCCAGCCTCCCGTGGAGGATGGTTCTTTGAGTCTCCCGCAACATTGCCGCGACGAACATCCTTCACAGAGATATTCTTCACGTTAAAGCCGACGTTATCTCCAGGAACGGCCTCGGCCAAAGCCTCATGGTGCATTTCGATGGACTTTACTTCGGTTGAGATGCCAACCGGAGCAAAGGTGACGATCATACCGGGCTTCATCACACCGGTCTCAACACGACCAACAGGAACAGTGCCAATGCCGCTAATTTTGAAAACGTCCTAAACCGCAAAATGCCAGAGAAAAACACTGTACCTGGAGAGGAAGCCGGAGAGGTTTGTCCACAGGACGAGTCGGAGGCTCGACAAGATCGATGCTAGCAAGAAGAGTCGGTCCCTTGTACCAGGGCATGTTGGGACTCGGCTCAAGCATGTTATCGCCAACCCAACCAGAAATTGGCACGATGTTCACGGTATCGGGGTTGTACCCAACCTTCTTAATGTAAGCCTTCATCTCGGAACTGATCTCCTGGAAACGCTTTTCGCTATAGTCGACCGCGTCCATCTTGTTAACCGCGATTATGAGCTTCTTTACACCCAAAGTGAAAGCAAGCAGGGCGTGCTCACGAGTTTGTCCATTCTTGCTTATACCTGCCTCAAACTCGCCAGTACCAGCAGCAACAACAAGAATCGCGCAATCCGCCTGGCTGGTGCCTGTAATCATGTTCTTAATGAAGTCACGATGTCCAGGAGCATCAATGATAGTGACAAGATACTTCGGCGTCTCAAACTTCCAAAGAGCGATATCAATGGTGATACCACGCTCCCGCTCAGCCTTTAGCTTATCAAGAACCCAAGCGTACTTGAAGGAAGACTTGCCCATCTACAAAGTGCATGCACTGAGTCACAAACGTACCTCGGCAGCTTCCTTCTCGAACTTCTCAATGGTTCTTTTGTCAATTCCACCACATTTGTAGATCAAATGGCCAGTGGACGTCGATTTTCCAGAATCGACATGACCAATAACAATGAGGTTTATGTGGGTCTTCTCCTTGCCCATGTCGTAACACGCCGAGACGACACCACTAACACAATAAAGTGAGGAATCGAGACGGAAAGTCCAAGCGCGTGTTCATTTAAACAAATTTTGTTTATATTAACAGGCAAACGAAACACTCCAAATCGTCGAAATATAATTAATATCACAAATTCGACTATCTCAGTTAACGACCTTAATGAATCTACTTCACTACAAAAAGGGGATGAACAAGTGCACAAGCAAAATAAATACAATATTTTCATGCCACTTGAATTGCTGTTTTGAGAAAATTTAGAACAATTTTTTGCATTAAGAATGCACGCAATGTCCAATTCGCTCGCATTTTTTGCGTATGATGCTGTTAAGACACTTGCCATCATTAAACATAAGAACTGCGTGTATTTTTTGCAATCATATCTGAAGTAAATTTCTAAACGTATCAGCTGTTCTTTATTGTCTTGTCCATGCTGTAGGAACTGCCTGTCCACTCTCTGGTCCCTGAACCTCAGATTTCAAGGGGAAATTGGTCGCAAACGATTTATTGGGCATTGCTACTAGGGAGGATGAGGAATGGGATACAGATGAGGTGAGTGAGGAATATCAATCGGAGGGAAGCTCCTCGCCACCTTCGCGCCCGTGATCGCGTTTCTGATTGGTTCCCGCCTCGCACCTATAAAAATACACTTAAACAAACTAGCCTATATAACACATGCGACCACCTGATGTCCAGCATGCGTCAGTCGTCGAGCCAAGTTGTGGCCTGTAGCGTCCCGAGACTTTCCATAGGGTGGAAGAAGGCAGTAAGTGAGGCTGGATACATACATTCCGATGGAAAAAGAGCAAATGGACCTGAGCATGGCTCAAAGGCCAACCACATGTACAAGGGCCAGACAAATCCTAAAGTGTCCGCCAAACGTCATGTGGTCACATAAACAAAACATCACAAGACCTAGTCCCTTTGCTCTTCCTGGAGTACATGTGTTCAGCTCCATCTAATGCTTTCAATCACCCAATGTGAAGTCTCTGTACGCTACATGGTTTGCTATATTTAAATGGCACACCTATAATGCGTAGTGTTTCGGTCATATTTAGTAGTTGATGTAGCTTGTCGAGACTTACTACCAGGTAGAAGAAGGTAGTGAGTGGAGTTGAATACATGTGTTTCATGGAGAACAAAGTAATTATTAGTTTTGCATGGCCCGAAGGTTAGTCCA